TTGATTGACGGTTGAGAGGCGGGACCAGAGAGCCAAAGCTCAACCCCCGCAAGCACAATTAGGTGAGTACACACACACACGGGGGGGCGGGGGGGGGGCTGACTGGACAGTACGCTGGACTTGTGATCCTGTGGTCCCGGATTCGATTCCGGGCGCCGGCGAGAAACAGTGGGCATAGTTTCTTTCACCCTGATGCTCCTGTTACCTAGCAGTAAATAGGTACCTGGGAGTTAGTCAGCTACCACAGACGTGGCCACACATTTACAATGCTAAGAGCATATATACATTTTCTATTCATGTATTTATTTTCTTTCAAACAAAAAAAATGTTAGCTGTCACGGGCTGCTTCCTGGGGGTGGAGGCCTGGTCGAGGACCGGGCCGCGGGGACACTAAGCCCCGAAATCATCTCAAGATATTGGGACGTTTCATAAATTTTGTTCATTGAGTGATAAGAGTGTTCAAACTGTTCATTTTTTTGTAATGGAACACTTGCCTTTCACATATTACTCATGTTGTTACACCTTGAGGTTATCTTCAGGTGCTTCCGGGGCTCAGCGTCCCCGCGGCCCGGTCGTCGACCAGGGGCCAGATTCACGAAGCAGTTACGCAAGCATTTACGAACGTGTACATCTTTCCTCAATCTTTGACGGCTTTGGTTACATTTATTAAACAGTTTACAAGCATGAAAACTTGCCAATCAACTGTTGTTATTGTTATAAACAGCCTCCTGGTGCTTCGGAGCTCATTAACTGTTTAATAATTCTAAACAAAGCCGCCAAAGATTGAGAAAAGATGGACAGGTTCGTAAGTGCTTGAGTAAGTGCTTCCGTGAATCTTGCCCCAGGCCTCCTGGTTGCTGGACTGGTCAACCAGGCTGTTGGACGCGGCTGTTCGCAGCCTGACGTATGAATCACAGCCTGGTTGATCAGGTATAAGATCGTAAGGGAGGGAAGGGATAGTCTACATGTTGTAAAGTAAACTCACACCTGCCTCATCTCTTCTGTGTTGACGTGTATATTAAGTTTACTTTTCAGTAAATGTGTATAGACCTGAGGGAGGAAATTTTCAGGGGGAAAGCACTAAGCCATTACGACTATATAGCACTGGGAAGGGGTCAGGATAAGGATTTGGGATGGGACGGGGGGTGAAAGGAATGGTGCCCAACCACTTGTGGACGGTCGGGGATTGAACACCGACCTGCATGAAGCGAGACCGTCACTCTACCGTCCAGCCCAAGTGGTTGGCACCTGCTTGAATGTTATCCTACAACTTCAGGTCTATCTGCGGCTCGAAAGAAGGAATTTTCAGGGGAAAGCGGCCAGCCATTACGACTATATAGCACTGGGAAGGGGTCAGGATAAGTATTTGTGATGGGACGGTGGGAAGGAATGGTGCCCAACCACTTGTGGACGGTCGGGGATTGAACGCCGACTTGCATGAAGCGAAACCGTCGCTCTACCCAAGTGGTTGGGACCTGCTTGAATGTTATCTTACAACTTCAGGTCAGACTGCAGTTTGCATCTTTTATAAATTAATACACTATAAATGAAGATAGTGATGCTGTTTCTTTCACAAACCCGAGAAAATTGGGCTGGCCTATTGGTACAGCCTCGTTCCCATTGGCTCCCAGTTGCTGTAAGAACTGGGTGATAAACTAATTAGGGTAACCAAAGACCATAGAGTTTCCTGTTCCATTGCCTGAACGTTGCAATCTGGAGAGGAAATTCTTACAGCATCCTAAATAGACATCCGGGTCCTGAGGCTGCAAAAGAGGTATTTTCAATTCTATTAGATGTCATGTAGAATATGCAGAATAACCACATGAAAAATAGAAAATGCTTAACGCGTTTTCGGCTAAATCAGAGCAAAGTAGAATTCTACTTTGCTCTGATGAAGGCGAATTAGCCGAAAACGCGTTAAGCATTTCTATTTTTCATATGTGGTTATTCTGCATACTTGGATCAGTGTTTTTGTGTCATTGTTGCATATATATATATATATATATATATAATATATATATATATATATATATATATATATATATATATATATATATATATATATATATATATATATATTTAAATATGACCGAAAAAGTAGGATTAATAATTCTAACACGAATTTTCTCATATTTCTTATGTTTCTTTTTACTGTCGATGGTAATTGAAAAATCAATTCTCTAAAATTAATTTTGGAGAATTCCTCTCCAAAATCTCCAAAAATTCAAAAAATAAAAATGAATTTTGGAGAATTGATTTTTCAATTACCATCGACAGTAATAAGAAATATTGAGAAAATTCGTGTTAGAATTATTAATCCTACTTTTTCGGTCATATTTAACAATATATATATATATATATATATATATATATATATATATATATATATATATATATATATATATATATATATATATATATATATATATATATTTAGTATCAGTAACTTAGTAGAAATCTCCTTATTAACTAATAAGTTTACATTTATTTGTACCTGGAGATTTGTACTAAGTTACTGATACTAATTAATTGCTGCTGGGTACATGCCCAACAGGGTTGGGTCGGGATTGTCATAAAAAAATGAGCCTGACATGACACTGACAAAGTTACCATTACAACTAATCTCACATACCAAACCTGACTGACATTTGTCATATAAAATTAACCACTGATCATGGCAAAATTATTAAAAAAATTCTACCTATAATACTTTGGCGATATTAATGAAATTAATGTGTGTGCTGGTTCGGGTTGCTCGCTTATGACATCCAATAAAGTTAAGCCCACACTCACCCCCACACTCACCCCCTACCCTCACCCCCATACTCACCACCATACTCACCCCCACACTCACCCCCCATACTCACCCCCACACACTCACCCCCATACTCACCCCCACACACTCACCCCCATACTCACTCCCACACTCACCCCCATACTCACCCCCACACTCACCCCCATACTCACCCCCACACACTCACCCCCATACTCACCCCCCACACTCACCCCCACACTCACCCCCATACTCACCCCCATACTCACCCACACACTCACCCCCCACACTCACCCCCATACTCACCCCCATACTCACCCACACACTCACCCCCATACTCACCCATGCTCACCCCCACACTCACCCCCCACACTCACCCCCATACTCACCCACACACTCACCCCCATACTCACCCCCATACTCACCCACACACTCACCCCCCATACTCACCCACACACTCACCCACACACTCACCCCACACACCCCCATACTCACCCCTATACTCACCCCCCATACTCACAACACACGTCTTAAACCTGTTATAACCTATCTCCAACACCTTCCCACCCCTTATGCATCTATTCACCCTTTCCCACAATGAGAGAGAAGAGGAAGATGGATAGAGAAAGGGAGTTAAATGGAAAGAGAGAGACAAAGTGTGTGTGTGTGTAATACACACACACACACACACACACACACACACACACACACACACACACACACACACACACACACACACACACACACACACACACACACAGTCCAAACAGACAAGCATATCTTGTATTATAACTTAAATTTCACTTGGGAAACTCCTGTATTTTAATGAAAATTAATCACAACTGGGAGATAAACGCATATAAATGACTACGGGATCACCATAGCCCGTGCTACTTGGAACTTTTTTGTTCCGGGTAGCGAATCTTGAACAACAACAACAACAACGTGGAAGAGAAACGAGTGTCTGGAATGTCGAATTGTGGTTGTTGTGGTTAATGTCGAGTTGTGGTTAATGCCTTGTTGTAGAAAATTATAAGATCATTAGCTCTATGGGTGAACACCATAGAATTATTGGTAGGGTGGTAGTATGAACTCTTTCTATAGCTGGTGCGGTACCTGCAGTGTAGGAATGGTACCTGCAGTGTAGGAATGGTACCTGCAGTGTAGGAATGGTACCTGCAGTGTAGGAATGGTACCTGCAGTGTAGGAATGGTACCTGCAGTGTAGGAATGATACCAACAGTGTAGGAATGATACCAACAGTGTAGGAATGGTACCTGCAGTGTAGGAATGATACCAACAGTGTAGGAATGGTACCAACAGTGTAGGAATTGTACCTGCAGTGTAGGAATAATACCAACAGTGTAGGAATGGTACCTGCAGTGTAGGAATGATACCAGCAGTGTAGGAATGATACCAACAGTGTAGGAATGGTACCTGGAGTGTAGGAATGGTACCTGGAGTGTAGGAATGATACCAACAGTGTAGGAATGGTACCTGCAGTGTAGGAATGGTACCAACAGTGTAGGTACCTGCAGTGTAGGAATAATACCAACAGTGTAGGAATGGTACCTGCAGTGTAGGAATGGTACCTGCAGTGTAGGAATAATACCAACAGTGTAGGAATGGTACCTGCAGTGTAGGAATGGTACCAACAGTGTAGGAATGATACCAACAGTGTAGGAATGGTACCTGCAGTGTAGGAATGGTACCTGCAGTGTAGGAATGATACCAACAGTGTAGGAATGATACCAACAGTGTAGGAATGGTACCAGCAATATAGGAATGATACCAACAGTGTAGGAATGATACCAACAGTGTAGGAATGATACCAACAATATAGGAATGATACCAACAGTGTAGGAATGATACCAACAATATAGGAATGATACCAACAGTGTAGGAATGATACCTACAATGTCGGTACCATTAGTACCAGAGTGGTATTACTGGCAGGGGTCTGGTACAAGAGAATACAGGAATACAGAGAAAGGAAATCGGGGCGAATTTAACAATATATTGTTAAATGTGTCAAGTGGGAAATGACTCCATGAGGCGCTGACGGAGGTACAGCGACAAAGAGTAAGGATGCGGCCGAGGATGAGAGCTCCCGCGCGGCGACTGTGGTGGCGACTGTGGTGGCGGGCCGAGCCGGGCCGAGCCACACGCACACACACACTCGCTGGCCCCGGCGCGCTCTCACTCACTCACTCACACGCCGACTGCCGTGCGCGCTACTTCTCTATCCCGCCCCGCGGCCCGGCTCTAAGGAGCCACTCTCCCTCAGGCGACGTAGCCTAAGACTCTTTAAAAAGCGTGTGCCTTGTCTCCTAGCTCTTAGCGTGTTGCTCTTGGAGACGTCTACCCAACCGTCCATAATCTCCGTCTGGGATATAGTTAAATCATTCCTGTGTTGAAAATTATATATATATATATATAAGGATTCCGCCCATGATCGTTAATGAAAACTCATTAACTTTTCTAGAAAAATATTATATTACTTTTGTTTAGAAAGTTATATATTTAATATATTGTTAGACATTTGTTTAAATTGGAAAATATTGTTGTGTGTTGATTGGGTGATATTGCTAGATCTGTCCATGTGCAGTGAAGAGTAAGGGTGACATGTGAACTTGTCAGTCATCTCAGCGACCTGCTATCGTTTCCTGAGACGTGTGCCTCCACCAGGCACACTCACATATCTGACTGTGTCAGCTGTGTAAGTGACAAACAGGTGGGTGCGCAGAAGGCAAAGTGGTTCATCTGCGCGAGTGGGAAGCTGGACACCATCTCCCCTATCTCCCCACCACCACCCCTCCCTAGTGTAAACACAACAGTGAATGTTGATATTACAGTGATCACCGTAGGGCCAATCAGGACAGGGGGTTGTAACAGCAACCTCTTCTCACCTCTACAGGTGATCACTATTCTTAGAGTAGTGTAATGAGTGCTATGAAGATGCACTACTCTACTGCTACACCTCCATCATTCCCAATGCCCCGTAACCTCTTCTTCTCTAACCTGGACGAGGTTAGACGCCCATCCACGCCTCACTACGGACACTACGCCCACACTTCGCCCAGACCCGCTGAGGTAACTGCTAATATAATTTTATTTTTCCATTAATCAGTATTGTGGTTTTGAAGCTGTATACAGGTTCTTCTTCTCGCGTGGTCTTATGAAACAAGTTTAGAATTATTTTCCATTTGGGAGAAATCTTGATTTGTGTTACATCTTCCTGAATACAACTTGAGATAATGTGGTATAGGGCGATAAATTCTATTTATCCCGGCCAAGACTAAACAGCCAATTACGGGTAGTAAGTCAGAATGATCTTAGAGTAGCTGGTGCAGGAGCAGGAGGAGGGGTAGGATAGCAAGGGGGAGGAGGAGGATAGCAGGGAGGAGGATAGCGGGGGAGGGTTAAGAGTGACTGAGCCCTCGTGTGTCGGGGCAGTAGCGAGTCTGTTGTTGTATCAGAGAGCGACCGCAAAATTTGCTTCCTTGTGTCACGTGGGTTTGTGTGTTTTAGTTAACAACAAGTGGATTGATCACAGTTTGGCATACTTATTCGCGGCTCCGTCTGAGACTGAGCTGTCAAGACGTGACGGTAGGTGTCTTCAAGATGACAGTAGGAGTCTCCTGTCACTAGACGCCTGTACACTCCCCACCACCTACGATAACTTACACAGTTATCTTGGTAGAAGAGAAGTCAGGTCTTGACAGATGACTGGTGAGAGTTATTTTGCTGCCGGTTAAGAGTCGACCCGGTATTAAGATCTTGCCGATTTAGAGAGTTTGAAGGGAATTTCTCCTTGCAAGAGTCGGTCCATGTTTGAGGAATGAGAATGTGGGACCTGTGTGTCGGGTTTCAAGTCCAGATGTGAACCAGATTTTCATTTTTGTTCAGAATTTTTTTCATGCTGAAGTTAGTGACTTCAATTTGCTGGTTAGAGTGTGGCAAAAGGTTTAATATTTAGTATTGTATCTACGAGACTTCAGCTGTACTTTTCTCAAACGTTAGTCTATTTGAAAGGCATGCATTCATCTGTATTGTAAATACTGTAGTGAATTGTTTCTGTGGATTGAATTCTGTGAATTCTGTGTATTGTAAATACAATGCAGGCGATGAGTCACAATAACGTGGCTGAAGTAAGTTGACCAGACCACACACTAGAACTTGAAGGGACGACGACGTTTCGGTCCGTCCTGGACCATTCTCAAGTCGATCGACTTGAGAATGGTCCAGGACGGACCGAAACGTCGTCGTCCCTTCAACTTCTAGTGTGTGGTCTGGTCAACTTGTAAATACAATATTGTAGTGTTGTAAATTAGATAGCTTTATATTTGATTTCTAAGACGACGTAACATTTAACAATCTGAGCAAGATTACGAACGTTTATTAAGAAGTTGTTGCATAATTAATCCGTAATTACCCTAGTAATTACTAATTAGTAGTGTCGCTAGTAATTAGTGTCGCTAATGATACTATATTGTCATAAATGACATTATTAATGACATTCAATAATTTGACTGAACTATTCTGTGGCATTTGAGTACATTTAGACGGACCAGTTTTGAGTACAAGTACATCAAATGTACTCCTGTAATGAAGTATTATTACAGCAAGTGGAATTGACTGACGACGAACAGTGGAGTCTCCCAGGAACAGCCCTGTACCCTGCTGTAACAGCCCTGTACCCTGCTGTAACAGCCCTGTACCCTGCTGTAACAGCCCTGTACCCTGCTGTAACAGCCCTGTACTCTGCTGTAACAGCCCTGTACCCTGCTGTAACAGCCCTGTACCCTGCTGTAACAGCCCTGTACCCTGCTGTAACAGCCCTGTACCCTGCTGTAACAGCCCTGTACCCTGCTGTAACAGCCCTGTACCCTGCTGTAAGAGCCCTGTACCCTGCTGTAACAGCCCTGTACCCTGCTGTAACAGCCCTGTACCCTGCTGTAACAGCCCTGTACCCTGCTGTAACAGCCCTGTACCCTGCTGTAAGAGCCCTGTACCCTGCTGTAACAGCCCTGTACTCTGCTGTAACAGCCCTGTACCCTGCTGTAACAGCCCTGTACCCTGCTGTAAGAGCCCTGTACCCTGCTGTAACAGCCCTGTACCCTGCTGTAACAGCCCTGTACCCTGCTGTAACAGCCCTGTACCCTGCTGTAAGAGCCCTGTACCCTGCTGTAACAGCCCTGTACCCTGCTGTAACAGCCCTGTACTCTGCTGTAACAGCCCTGTACCCTGCTGTAACAGCCCTGTACTCTGCAGTAACAGCCCTGTACTCTGCTGTAACAGCCCTGTACCCTGCTGTAACAGCCCTGTACCCTGCTGTAACAGCCCTGTACCCTGCTGTAACAGCCCTGTACTCTGCTGTAACAGCCCTGTACCCTGCTGTAACAGCCCTGTACTCTGCTGTAACAGCCCTGTACTCTGCTGTAACAGCCCTGTACCCTGCTGTAACAGCCCTGTACCCTGCTGTAACAGCCCTGTACCCTGCTGTAACAGCCCTGTACTCTGCTGTAACAGCCCTGTACCCTGCTGTAACAGCCCTGTACCCTGCTGTAACAGCCCTGTACCCTGCTGTAACAGCCCTGTACCCTGCTGTAACAGCCCTGTACCCTGCTGTAACAGCCCTGTACCCTGCTGTAACAGCCCTGTACTCTGCTGTAACAGCCCTGTACTCTGCTGTAACAGCCCTGTACCCTGCTGTAACAGCCCTGTACTCTGCTCTGCTGTAACAGCCCTGTACTCTGCTGTAACAGCCCTGTACTCTGCTGTAACAGCCCTGTACCCTGCTGTAACAGCCCTGTACTCTGCTGTAAGAGCCCTGTACCCTGCTGTAACCCAGCTGTAGGTAAACAGATGTAACCTTGTAGTTCATACCCCTCATACTCGTCACCTGACCCTTATAACCAGCTGTTAGGTCTACCAACTACTGCTAACGAGGCACTTGCCACTTGGCTATAGTTATTCAGGGAGTAATTAACGTATTTCACGGTAAAGTTGCATTAATAAATACATAATATTTATTATGTATTTATTAATGTTTATAAATAATATAAATACTTTTTATATAATATACTTTTTATATAAAGTTTATAATAATATAAATGTATTTATAATAATATAAATACATAATATTTATTATGTATTTATATAATATAAATTGTCTTCTTGCCGGAGGGCAAGAGATCACTACCTTCCCATCTCCTTCAGTGCATCTTGGGTATGCACACACCTGTCCTTAATGACAGGTGTGTGCGCAGGTGTCAATTACATTGTAAGTGTTGAGCATTGCACACCTGTCTGTACGGGAATCCAACCCTTCGACCCGCGTGGGAGTATTGAAATTGAAACTGAAATCAGTTCATGTATAGATCCACACACAAAAGGGATGAGGCAGCTCAAGCTATCTTTAACCCCGTTCAGTAAACACGTGTTCATATATATATATATATATATATATATATATATACATAGACACATAACACAAACAACATATGCTCGTATTTACATGTGTTGAGGGTGGGGGGGGGTGTTTGAAGGGCTTGATCCTTGGTATTGTCTTAAGATATCCTTTGCTGGTCCAGTATATCCAGGCGGGGATATAGCAAGGATATCAAGCAGGTAGGATAAAAGATATAATACCAACTGATAACAAAAGTGAAGAACACTTCAGATAACTTATTTGCATAACCAACTGATATCCTATTAAGCCTGAAATACAAGAGGTAGCGATAAGAATGCATTTCATTATCATTGAGGCGTTTGCCAATCGGCCTAGTCACCTAATCACGTACCCCGACCTACCAATCGTGGTGCGGCGAGTCGGAGGGATATAATGAGGGAGTAACCCAGAGCAGTAGGCGGTACAGCAGGAGACTCGGAAGGTTGAAAAATCCCTCCGGCCACAGACATCTACCTGAACCCCAGCTTCAATACCTGACAGACTTCCTTGCAGAATTATTGGTCGGGATAAGGACAGCTTTGCGTGTTCGGCTGCCCGGGGCATCGGGCAGAGTGACCAAGGTCTCTGAAGTCGCTGGCCGCTATATAGAAGCTTCAGCACGACTGTGAAGTCACTGGTCGCTACAGAGAAGGTTCAGCACGACTCTAAAGTCACTAGTCGCTACATAGAAGGTTCAGCACGACTCTGAAGTCACTAGTCGCTACAGAGAAGCTTCAGCACGACTCTGAAGTCACTAGTCGCTACATAGAAGGTTCAGCACGACTCTGAAGTTCCTGGCTGCTACATAGAAGCTTCAGCACGACTCTGAAGTCACTAGTCGCTACATAGAAGCTTCAGCACGACTCTGAAGTCACTGGTCGCTACATAGAAGGTTCAACACGACTCTGAAGTCCCTGGCCGCTACATAGAAGCTTCAGCACGACTCTGAAGTCACTAGTCGCTACATAGAAGCTTCAGCACGAATCTGAAGTCACTAGTCGCTACAGAGAAGGTTCAGCACGACTCTGAAGTCACTAGTCGCTACAGAGAAGGTTCAGCACGACTCTGAAGTCACTAGTCGCCACAGAGAAGGTTCAGCACGACTCTGAAGTCACTAGTCGCTACATAGAAGGTTTAGCACGACTCTGAAGTCACTAGTCGCTACAGAGAAGGTTCAGCACGACTCTGAAGTCACTAGTCGCTACATAGAAGCTTCAGCACGACTCTGAAGTCACTAGTCGCTACATAGAAGGTTCAACACGACTCTGAAGTCACTAGTCGCTACAGAGAAGGTTCAACACGACTCTGAAGTCACTAGTCGCTATAGAGAAGGTTCAGCACGGTCACTAATGCCCACACAAAGACCCCAGGGCAGAGTGGGACCATACGGATGACGAAGCTGTCGAGAACAGACCCACCTGTCTACACCTGGCCAGCAATAGCAACAATTATACCTTATTCGATCTTAGGTTTTCGCTGTTAATAACTGCCTGAAGATTACCGCATTTCTCTTCTTTGAGTGAGTATTTGATAGCTGGCAGTGTTGATATGCGTATGTACATATGTAGTGCGTATGTACGCACTACATATGTAGCGTAGAACGTAAATTAATAGTTAAATTAAATAATATATATATATA